AGAAATAAAGCATACATTATTATACAAATAAGATAATGAATAAAAGAAGAAACTTCAGTTAAAATTTGCGCATGCGTTTGATTTTGATATCTGTTTATTGTGTTGTCGAATATCTACGTTCAACAGAAATAAGCGCTTTACGCCGATTGGATTATATTGGATCTATAAAAAAAAAATCCTATCTCAAATAGTCCTATCTCAGCAAAGAATATAGTCCTATCTAAGTGGAAAAATAAATATTTCCCCTAAATACTGGATAATGACAATATAGATGTATGACGAGTTTGATCATATTCATAACACGTGACTTTCATGTGATATTTGGCATACTTATTCTCTAACTTACTTCGATTCGCATATTCATTACAGTATCAGACATCAGGTGAACGGACAGCACGGAAGAACAAGAATTTTCAACGAAAATAACGATTTAATTTAATTCAAATATAAAAGTTTATAAAAATAGTGCTCCACAGTAGCTGCAATTAATTGTTACGAAAATCATAATTGTACAATATATAAAAAGGTAAAAGTTAATAAAAAGAAATAATATATATGTATAGAAAAGTTATAAAAAAGAAGTTGTTTATTATTGTTTAAACTTTTGCATTACATCTTTTTCTCCCTTTTCAACAAAAATTATGTGTCTTGCACAAATTTAATAAAGTTAAGTATCTTAATACGATGATTTTCTGTTTGGTTACAAATACGGATTTTATTTTTTCTTTTAAATAGAGCGGTATATTTATGTCTATAAATTTTGATATTTAAATTAGAAAGGCATAATATTAATTTTAAATTAAGAAATTTGTAGTATATAAATAATGTTTAATGTTATCTTTTCCAAGCAAAATAGTGATATTAATAAAACGTAATATTCTGTAATATCTTTTAATTATTTAAAATTTATTTTTATTATTTTCGTGAATAGATATCTCACATATCGTGACATATGTAAAACAACTACTGTTTAGAAATTCATTTATATCTCGGCGAAGAGAAGTGATGTACATTAATTTTCAATACACGCAATAATTTTCTGATTCATTACTATGCGATGGATTATTCGTGTTGGATTAACCGTGTTGGATCTTTACCCCTTTTACAATTACATACAAATGATTAAATAATTCTTACATATATCTTAATATCTTTAGGAAATATTTATAAAGTTGTGTATTTAAAAAGTTGTATATATATATATATGAATGTTATTATTAACTACAGTAAAGAAAATGAGAAAAATGCACTTTTTTGTATAAAAATGTTTGCAATATTATAAATATGATAAAAAAATTTTTTTTTAACAGTAATCTACTATGTTTAATTTATGATTTTATTTAAAATATACGAATGTAATAATGTTGTGTAAAAATTTAATATTTTATACAATATTAATAATACAACTGATCTGATTTCTGTCTTGTATGTCAAAAACATTTCTCTTCATAAATCTAGAAGCAAAAGTTTTTTTAAACTTTTATCAATTGTATAAAATGTTTCATAATATATGAGCATAACTTTGGAAATGAATTTAGGACACAAAAACTTTATATAAATTTGATCTACATCTAACTTTGTTTCCGGATAATAAACGTTTTCATTTTACTAGTTTTTATTATAAGAGTTAGCCTAGCTGGTTTCTATCTAGATGTTTAGTATCAATTTAAATGAAGATAATATAATTGTACAGGGGTTATAAGAAGTCAGTCACGATGATTCGAGCGCAATACAATTTATTCTCTCAATCAATAATGATGTCAAATTTTACATTTATATATACTATACGTTTCGATTCTGATTCGAGGCATCCTCAGCGATGTCAGTAACGAATTGATGATTGACAAAATAGTCCGCATGATATATAAGTATATCAAATATATATAAGTATATCAAATTATATATAAAGGTATCGAATTTGACATCGTTATTGATCAAGAGAATGAATTGTATTACGCTTGTAATTACCGCGACTGACTTCCCACAACCCTTGTTTGCATAATTATACTATTAGTTTTAAAAAATACAGAACTGTTTTGTGAATATCTATCTTTGTTATTGTATATTTAAATGAAGATGTTTATTAATTATGTTAATTAATGTTAATTAACTAAAGACAGAAATGTGTAAACATACTACGCTAACTTAGTTTGTAATGAGAATGAAACACAAAAATATTTGTATTTGGAAACAAAATCAGATAGTATATATGTTTATATACATTTTTTTTGCGTAATTTTTACATTCTAAATTTATTTCTGAAGTTATGCTCACGTTTAGCAGGAAATAACAAACAATTCTCGATCTTTAATGCTTAAATAATTCGATGTAAATTTGTATGTTGTTATATCCTGACAAAACCCTCAGCCTTTTATTATAAATATATAGTTTAATATCTATAGTTTAGGCCTTGTAACCGTCTCTTTCTAAAAAAAGGCCTATTCGGCTCCTTTTCTCTCTTTTACGCTCGAAGGACACGGACAGCTCGCGGTACGCCTTATGCGTCGCGTAGACAAAATACATCTAACCG